CTGGACAAGCTGGATACAGAGATGTTGCTCAGAAAGAGTATTGCCAGAAGGAAACTGCAATTTTTTCTCCATGGGGTAAGGAGAGATGGTCTTGGAAAGTCCCTTGTAACAGTGGAAGCCAGGCAAAGAAGAGGCAGACCTGCGATTTCCTGTTTGAAAGAGATCCACATATGGACAGGGAAAAGCTGTCAGAGGCAAAGAGAGCAAAAGCTGACAGAGAGGGATGGCGTTACCTTGTGATGGCCACAGCAGTGCAGCTAGCGCCACCTGACTGAAGAAGAATATTTTGCCACTTACTGTATGCATCCATGCATGAAGAGTTGCCAAAATCATGTAGTCTTACAGTTGTAATCAAGTTGAGTATCACTATGAATATGGCTGACAAAGAAAGCGGAAAAAATATACAGTTCCTCAGGTAGACAAAGGAACATCCCTTCACTGCTATTATGTAAAAATGTGTAGAACAGGTGTCACATGTATATATTCACTTTTTACATAATAGCAGTGAAGGGATGTTCCTTTGTCTACCTGAAAAACTGTATATTTTGTCCGCCTTCTTTGTCGGTCATGTTCATAGTGAATGCATCTACAGGCATGTTGTAAGTTCCAAAGCACATGGCCTACATGGCTGCTCCTGTATTGTACAGTGCATGCAATTGACTATCCTAATGGTCTTTGTACTCAAGAACTGTCTTTGTAGAGTCTTCTTATTCTTATGTTCATCTCCAAAGGGCTATGCAGTATGCAGCATGTCATGAAGATTCGTAGAAAGATTACCAGTATTGTATGTAGGCACACTAAACATCGGGCTCATACACTGCTCTTTGTGAGAAGTGTAGCGTTAATGTGCATAAGGTGACTCTCCTACACACAAGGACTCCAGTAATGTTCTAGTGCAAGGAACGGAGTGTTTTAATCCCCCCCAACCCAACCCAACCCAAACCTGAACCTGCATCGAGAACAGAGGGGAGGGGCCCCCTTACAAGGTAAGCAGCGACAATCTGGGCTCAGTTTCACAAAGCCTTTTATCAATGACCAGTGACAAAAAGTAAGTGACAAATCTGCTGATAACCAATCAGAGGCAAGGATTTCAGTAGCTTATAACAACAACAACTGTCATTTCTCACTGTTGACAAGTTTTGTGAAACAGATCCCAGGTCTGCATTTCTGTCTGCTCCTGCTTGGCGCTGGAATCCAAACCCATGTGCACGACGAAAGTCACGAGAGCCAGGCGATGATCAGATTTTAGTTTGCAGGCACAAACCCTGGTCAGTCGTAAAAGAGAGTCTGCACTATTAAGACTACCATAGGCCATGTACTATAGTTGCTCCTGACACAACCAGAAGTAACTAGATTTTTTGATAAAGTGTCAAATTAGGGTCTGTGCTTGCAGACTAATCAGATTGTGCCACACTCCTCCATTTACAATAGGCTGAGAACATTGGGGATTATAAGTGGCAGTCAAACCCAATACCAGTAGTGCTAAATATAGCATATAACTCACATTTTGACCGTTTCCGCAGAGCCAAAATGGGAATTTAAGACCTTCTGGCCAGGACCTCAAGGGAGGGGGCCAAATAGGGGCCCAATTTGTGTTAAAATGCTTAGCGGCGAATAAGTGGGGGGGGGGGGTAAGGAGCACTAAATTTGTTTGGGGGGAGGCTCAACGGGCATGAGGGGGGTAGTGAGCACAATTTTCTTTTAATCAACACCAACCCCCCCCCCCTTACGCCAGGGGAGAGGGTCCGTCTCCTTTTTATTTTAAAAAAGGTTAAATTTACCTGTTTTGAGAGGCCAGCTGGGGAGGGCGCCCCCCCCCCCCCCCTCTAGATCTGCCACTGCTTGTGGCTACTAACGGTCATGTTCCATAGAGCGGTACAAATCAACATAATGTACATATGACAAATTTTGTGTGCATAGGCAAAAATGACCATTTGCAACTTGTTGAATAAAAGTGCAAACCCAATTTGGCAACACTTGAAACTCTACATATACTTTCTTTAAATAGCTGGACAGCATCGGTAGCTTCGTAACAATTTTTTTCTTTTGCCGGGACGTGAGGTTTAGATGAACAGAGTATGAGACTGGGGACTCACGAGACCAATTTTTGGTGCTCTTTGTGATGGTTTTTTTTCTTTTTAGGGCTGTTTTTTGATATTGAGATGAGGCTATTCTACCGTGATCACATGCAATTTTTTGATGTTACTTAATTAGTGTGCGTCTTTGGGAACAAGGCAATCTACAATGTACCTGTAACTCTTAATTTACCATGTTGCCAAGCTAGATTGGTCTAACTGTGATTGTGAACAGACAACCGATCCAGGAAGCCACCTTTTGGACCGATCCAGAAGACCACCTCGCGATGTGGTCTTCTGGACCGGTTAGCTTCCTAGATCACCCCAGACAGATCTAGCGTACAGTGTGAACATCAACATGCCAGGAAGCGATCTTCAACCAGAAGTGAGTGTGTTTTGGCGGAAAAGTAATGAAAGAAAGAAATTATACTAGTACAAGAATTTTAAAAAGAATGATATATAAGGAAAGAAAGATAGAAAACGATAGAATGATAGAAACTAAGAATAACATTACAGACAGAATAGAAGGAAGACGAAGAATAACGTAAGGAAAGACAGAAATAAAAAGTGATAGAATGATAAAAACAAAGAATAATATTTAGAGAAGATGATAGAAGGAAGAAACATAGAATAGCGATAGCCAAGAAGGGAAGAGAATATAATAAACACAAAGAATAACAAAAAGAGAAGGGGGTAGAAGGAAGAAACAAAGAATAACATATTAAGGAAAGACAGACATAGAAATTGATAGAATGATCAAAACAAAGAATAACATAAGAGAAGGTGATAAAAGGAAGAAACAAAGGATAGCGTAAGGAAAGATGGGCAGAGGAAATAATAGAATAAAAACAAAGAATAACATAAGAGAAGGTGATAGAAGGAGAAACAAAGAATAGCGTAAGGAAAGACAAGCAGAGGAAATAATAAAAACAATGAATACCATTAGAGAAGGGGATAGAAGGAAGAAAAAAGAATAACATAAGGAAAGAAAGACAGAGAAATTGATAGAATGATCAAAACAAAGAATAACATATTAAGAGAAGGTGATAAAAGAATAGCGATTAGTAAGACAGAAAGAGAATATAATAAAAACAATGAATACCATTAGAGAAGGGGATAGAAGGAAGAAACAAAGAATAAGATAAGGAAAGATAGACGGAAGAGAAGATGAAATGGGGACAAAACAAAGAATAACAGAAGAAAAACAGATACCGGGTAGAGAAAATCATAAAAGGAAAACAAAGAATAACACGACAAAAAAATAGAAAGAAAGAAATGATAGAATAGTAAACGAAGAATAACATAAGAAGTGAAAAAAGGAAAAACAACGACTAATAATATAAGGAAAGATAGAAAGAGAAAATGATAAATAATTGAAAATGCAAACAGAAAAGATGAAACTGAAAATGGAAAAACATTCCAACATAAGAAAAAAACAGAAAATGATAGAATTATTTTTTTTTTTAAATAAATATAGCAAAAGATGAGGAACTCTTTTCGGTTTTTAATTCCGCGCGAAACATTTGACCTGCTGACCTTTGCTACCCCAGCAACAGGAGCGGTCTAGCTCGTTTGCGCTATACAACAATAGCAACAAGAGCATTCTAGCTCATCAGTGTGAACATAAACGAAGCGTACCTTTGCATCTGGAGCGATCCAGTGGATCGGTCTAGCAAGTGAGGGAGAATGGGGCCTCAGCTATAATTCCACTATTTATTTTTTAGTCACATAGACCACCTATTTACCTTTACCGCAAATACTGGAAGAATGCTGAGACAGCAGTCGAGCTTCCAGGTCTATCTTCTTGGTCTATCTTCTTGCACTCATACTCTTTAATAAATTCTCATTATATGCAAGGGAGGCAGAGGGGCAAGAGATTGCATCTTGACTGGACAATGTACCATGTACAATGTCCCAGGAGCAAAGAAATTGAAAAAATCAGTTTGAGTATTGAGAGATATGACACTGTTCCTTCCAGCAACGATCAAGCCTGGTTTTGTGGGCGTCTATGGTGGGAGCCTGAACTACTACTTTATGATTGCAACCGGTTGATTTCATGTATGCATACACTGCATTGAATCAAGGGGATAACAGCAATATCTCTAAGTTGATTGAATCAGTTCAGTCTTGATTCTTCTTCATGATAATCTGCCTCCTTTATACTGAAGATTCTTGCAGATTATTAGTATTACCTATAGTAGCCAATACAGCAATCACACCCTTATGTTCTGTATCTCTCTTTTGAGTGGTGTTTCATTTATAACTCGGCGCTAGTGTAGCAAGGTATCCAAAATATAGCCTACTAAAACAGACCCCAAATTTCGGTAAATAAATAATCAAATGTCCCAATGAAGATAATGATTATAAAGAGGTGTTATGTTTCTTACCTGTTTCGTGTCAATTTTGATGTATTTGGGAGAGTATTTTTCTAAAAAACATTGATTTTAGCATGCACTTTTTCACAGGTTTCACGCCAAACCGCAGCACAATACAAATGCATAGATCTAGGCCTACTGCACTGATGGCCTTGGTCGATTGCGTGCATGGTCGACGTCGCGCGCTCCTGTGTGAAGTTATCTACCTTATGTAATGAGGATATGGGACAGAAGATAATAGTTTGTTTAATAAATGTATAGAATATATATATAATAAATAATAAATGTTTTTTAGAAAAATACTCTCCCAAATACAACAAAATTGACACGAAACAGGTAAGAAACATAACACCTCTTTAATCATTATCTTCATTGGGACATTTGATTATTTATTTACCGAAATTTGGGGTCTGAAATTTGGGGTCTGTTTTAGTAGGCTATATTTTGGATACCTTGCTACACTAGCGCCTATAACTTTACGATATAACACGGGAATTTGTGACAAATGCAAAGATGATGTTATGTAGGTCTAGCCTAGTGCTATACTCACCGGTAAATGTGTGCGTGGACCATGTTCGTGTACAGCGCTCGGGCTGTATGTCGCCGCCACCGCGCTCCTTGGCACGGCTCGATCAATCCAACTGCAAAAAGAACAAGAGGAAAAAACGATTAAATGACCAAAGTAAAACAGTGTTTATCCAGCATCATATTTGTTGGCATGAATTCCAACATAGTCAATATTATTCTGTGATTTCATACCTGTTAGAATTCCACGTTTAGCGACTCCAATTTAGGGTAACTCTCGGTAAATTCGCACAAAGAAAAAATTTCAGTCATTAGATCGTGCAGAAGTCAAGCTCCAACGCACGGCAACCTCGCATGAATATGCGATTGTTGTAAGTATGCGTGGCCCCGTTGTATGTATAAGCTGTACTGTATAGTCGTTTGAGCGAAAGGCTAGTTCTATAGTTGCGTTGGCGCGTATAGGGTACGTGTTTTTAAGATACTACACAGAATTTCCGTGTTGTGTTGTGTGGTGTATCTACACTTGGTAATAAAATGGCACATCTAGCTCTGTAGGCCCTGTTTGTTTACTCACCTGTCTGAAGCAATTGATACTTTTTGCCTGAAGTAGCTTCTAGTTTCAACACGCGATCGAAAGGATATAGGTCTATTGTGGTAGACTATATTTGAGCTATACGACGACTAATAATACACCTCCTGACAGGCCAAGCAAGATACATGTCCAATATACCGAGAACGCGCGATGCGATCGTAGAGAGAACGAAAGTGTCGTACTGTACTGTACGTGGTACGTTGCATAGACCATATCCAAAGAGTCGAACACGTCAATGGTGCGCGCGCCAGCTAGGTAAAATGTCAGATAATTAAAGCTGCATTTACACTGCAACCAAAAATCATCGGTTTTCAAAATAGCCTTTTGAACACTCCTTGAACGGTTCTAGGACACCCGGCCCTGGACATTCACGTACCCCAGATAACCACCACGTACAGTCAACTACCCCCTAGGACAACGACCCTCATATGGAAAACTTACGCGCATCTGCTCTGCGCCTCGTCGCTTATCCTGTTAAGCACGGGGAACGTACACCAAAAAAGCCATGTTTTGATATAATTGCTGGTATTACGGGAAAATGGAATTTTAAAAAAAAAATCTTCGGACGGTTTCTTATAATTTGAAATGTCGTCTTAAAAATGATACTAAATTTGGGATTATTCTTTCAGGGGAAACGGTTGCACTTTTCCCCTAAAAGTTTTGACTTTTTCAGCCTGCCTATGGAGATTGCACTGTTTTTCCCCTTTTTTGTCGGGTTTCGCTCAGTCAACCAGTCGGCAAATCTTACACGAGTGACGTATAAAAAATCTTCGGACGGATTCAGAAACCTTGACATCCCACCTTTACGTTGGTATAACGATTGTTTTCATTTGTGGAGGGGAAACGGTGGCACTTTTCCAACAAATAAAAGGTAGCTTTTCATAGTAAACCAAGGTGACTGGGATAGTGTAGCGCTATAGCTACTCACAACGAGTGCGCCCGTACTGTACAAACAATGCACAGTTATAGCTTCCGTGCAATCGCTGTAGAGGTCATCAGTGTGTGTATTTAACGCAGTGCGTACAGAGTGTGTGCGTTGCGCTCAAAATCTCGGAGACCGCATTACGCGCATCATGTCTATATGCGCACCCGAATGGGTCATTGCACTCCAACTATAGAGGGAAGTCAGTATAATCATTGGCAAAGGGAATGAGTTCGATTTCGTCTACGGTGTAATGGCAAGCCTCTGCTGGTGTAGTCTACCATAATTTTGCATTTATTTAACTATAGGTGAGTTTCATTTCTAATTCTAGTTTGTTAGTGTTAGTAAGTAGTCAACGAGAGCAAGCGCTCGCACCCCTGCTTTGTCGCATTGAACTAGTCCGATCAGTGTACTTTCACGCGCGCACTTGAGCGCGCTCTCTTCGTTAAAGCGGTTGTTTAGTGCTGTATTCTTTTATGCGCGTTTAGGGCTAAAAGTTTTCCATATGGAGGGCAACCACCCTCTGGGATGATCGACTACCCCCTGAGACAACTTCCCCCCCCCCCCCCGGACAACTACCCCGGACGACTACCCCCGGACAACTACCACCCAGACAACTATCACCTGCATGGACAACTACCCCTAACTACCCCCAACGTACGACAACCATCCTCTAGGGCAACTACCCCCTGGACACTATCTAGGGGGAACTTGTCTGAGGTAGTTTTCCTAGGGGGTAGTTGTCCGGGTGGTAGTTGTCCCGAGGGGTAGTCGCCTACCTAGGATTCTCATCCGCCTTAATTGTCCTGCATGATGAATTGGATGTCCTGATGTTTTGGATATATGGTTCATAATTTGAATCACATTCCATAGCTAGCCTTATAATTAAGGATATGGTCTTATTGTGATCTTAAGGCGGTGACAAGGATCCATTTGTATACAGGCATCACCCCGCCCCCCCCCCTCCCCAATCAGTGCTATAGAGTCGGCCTATACGCGTATGCATGTCCCTCCCTTTGAAAACACGTACCCCCTAGTATCTCCGGTCTGTAAAGTAAATGCGCCCCCCCCCCCCCCCCCCCCCCCCCCCCAATCTCTGGCTTGTATAAGTCAATACGGGCCGGACTTTGTTGCGTGAAAAATATATAGCTCTTTACCGCAGATTTTAGGAACACGAATGCGGTTCCTCCGACCCCGGAGTGGGGGGGGGGGGGGCTGGGGGAGGGGGGCTCATGCACCCCCGTCCTATATAGGCACGCTCTAGAGCACCGTATACCAGACCCACTCCAATTCAAGGGATTCCAGCAGGGAAGGCCATTCACTCTTACATGTAGGAAAAGCCCTGGACCTTAAATAAATTCTACCAGTTCTCTAACCAACTAATATTGCCATATCATGCTGGATGCTTATAACGCATTTGACAGTGTTTGGCAGAAATTAAGGTCTCCTGGCAAAGATATATAGCAGTAACGTACACACGCGCGTCCCCAGCTCTGCTCCATACCTTTGCAGAATTATATACAACAGCTGCTCATGCATGCAAGCAAGATGTACTGGGACCATTCCGCGTAGGTCCTTCTTTTCATGTCCTACATGTGTTTAGACAAGGTCGTAATGAGCAAAAACGTTTGGGTGGCAGGGGGAAAATACATTAAATAACGGTCAAATGAGCATCCAGGGGCCGCCTTGGGATCCTTGGTGGGCTTCCAGGGGGCAGAGCCCCCGGTTGCTCATGGGTTTCAGGCTTTACGGGCAGATGAGCATATTTTGATTCCTGAAGCAATTATTTTGACAAAGCCTGCCAACACATGCAGCTGATTTAGCTTCGACAAGCGATGTTAGCTTGGTTGAGCTGACGGCATTAGCAGAAAAAAGTTGCTTGTCCGCCTACTATTTCTTATGTCTTACCTAAATCAGTACCAGCGCAAACTCAGGCTTGCGCCACGCCCAAAGTACAGCGACTTTCTACCCAACTGGCTGCTCATGTGCAAGCCTTGACTGTCTTGTTCTCGTACAGGAGATCCACAGAAGTCGCTGTCGAGAGCGAGACCCTAAGAATTCAGGCCATCGCCAGGCAGCTTCCCGGAGCACGAGTCGGCATCAGCAAGATATGCTGGGACTGAACGTTGGTACCACTGGAAGCATGGCAAACAAGTCCGGAATTAAGTATGTGAGTCTTGCTCATACTCTGCAGGACGGAGCCGCGCCCGGGTAAATGCCCAGGGAAACGGGGCCTCCAAGGAATAGCGGCGACTATAAACGTGGCACCATTCAACCCAGTCGCCTTTTCTTTGTTCACGATAAACAATCAGGCACGCGTTTCCTTGTTGATACTGGGGCCGAAGTTCGTATCTTCCCTCAATCCATGTTAGGAAAATCAGCAAAGTTAAGTGCAACCAAAATAATATCCAACTGCAAGCTATTAACAAGTCACCCACTTTTGGGCAAAGGTATTTCACACTTGATCTTGGGTTGCTGCGAGTTTTCCGTTGGATTTTTTTTTTTTGTCACGGTCTCACGGATATACCTACACCTAATTATCTTGGGAGCTGATTTCCTTGATAACTATGGACTATTAGTCGATATCAAACATCGACGGCTGATAGACACCACCATCACTCTTACGGTACAGGGATTCGGCACATACAGGGATCATATTAGCCCGGTTTATGTCAAGCGAGATACTTCGGAGCGCTTCTACTCCCTTCTTCGTGAGTATCCTGCCATCACCCGGCCAGTATACAAGCACTCAGAAGTCAAGCACACAACCACCCACCATATTCTAACTCGATCGAGGCCCACCTGCTTTAGCCCGTCCTCGGTCGTCGACTTGCTCCGGATCGGCAGCAGATTGCCAAGGCAGAGTTCGAACACAATGCTTGAACTCGGCAGTATCAGACAATCTGATAGCACCTGGTCGATCAATTCCCTGGCACGTGGTTCCGAAGAAGACACTAGGGGACAGGTGACCTTGTGGAGATGATCGCATGCTTAATGCTCGTACTATTCCTGATAGATACCCTGTTACTCATTTGCAAGATTTCTCTGCATCACTTAGTGGCAAGACAACGTTTTCAAAGATTGATCTCATCAGGGCATACCATCAGATCCCAGTCGAGCCTAGCGATATCCACAAAACAACCATTCCTCTTAGATTATTTAAGTTTGTAAGGATGCCGTTTGGCCTCCGCAATGCAGCCCAGAAATTCCAAAGATTGATGGATGGTGTCACTCGATCGCGGTCTTCGTGCCGTGTTTTTCTGGACGATATTCTGGTAGCTAGTTCTACCGAAGACGAACAGAAGACAGATCTCCATCTACTCTATGATCGCCTGCAAGAGTATGGAATCATTCTCAACCCCTCCGAGTGTCAGTTCGGAGTACCTTCACTGTCCTCTCTAGGGCATAAAGTTGACTCAGAAGGAATTCAGCCACTTAGTGACAAGGTGAAGATCATCCGTGATTTGTCTATACCTACATCACTAACCAAACTACGAGAGTTCCTCGGGCTGATCAAATTCTACAGACGGTTCATTTCGCGGTGTGCAGAAGTACTCCATGCAACCTCTCACTTATCTGTTGAAAAATAGATCGAAGAAAAACCAACCAATCACCCTAAGAGAAGAAGAAATGTCTACTTTCGATCAATGTAAAGATCAGTTATCTAACGCTACAGTTCTAGTTCATCCTAGAATTTATGTTCCTATGCCTGTTGGTTGATGCATCCGACGTTGGAGTCCGAGGAACTATCCAACATCTACTAAAAGGACGCACATTTACCATCTACACTGATCACGAACCTCTCACCCTTGCTTTGAATTCAAAGCCGGACCGACACGCACCTCGTGAAATCCACCAACTTGATTTCAT